AAAAAAAAAAACCATTTTACTAACTAGTGCACCACCCATTCTTGATTGCAAATTATTTTTAATTTATACTCTATATGTTTAGGATGCTTAGAAAAAGAAATTCTTGGTGATAGTGTGCCTACTTAGAATTCCTCTTTCAACAGGAAAAAAGAAAAAAAAGAAAAAAAATGAGAGATCTGTTGGTAGGAATTGAAGAAGTCCACCTATGTGGAGGATCTGGACTGTAAACAATAGAATAAACACACAATCTAATGGTTTTCCAACATGTTCCCAAAGTTACAAAAGGTGGGTCCAATCATGAACAACCGTCCAACACAAATGCTTTAATTATGCAATAAAATAACACTAATTTGATGACTTGATTCACCTGAAAACATATGCTTTGGGGGCATAGAAAAATACTATAGGCTTTGCCTGCTCTAAGAAGATATGCCCAGATCTCCTTGAAGACTGTAGTAATTAGTGTACATGCTTACCTCATTGCCCACTTCTTATATTCCGTTGTTTAGAAACTACTCCCTCTTAATTCAATTTTTTAATAAGTTAGCCAAGATAAACGCATGAACACCTTTTTTTATTTTAATTAATTTTAAAAATAAAAAACTTGCCATCAAAGCCTTGGATGATAGGATTGATTAATTATTTAAATACAATTAAAAATTAAAAATTAATAATTATAAGTTATGATTAAATCATACATAGTTTTACATATATTATTTGCATTAAAATTTGATAGTTAATCTTTATACCACGAATGATTAAAATTTATTATAAATTTTAAAATTAAAAGATAATTATCTTTTAAAATTTTAATAAAAATAAATAAATTCTAACCATTTATAATAAAAAATAAATGGTTAATATTTTATTTAAATAACTAACAATTTAAGTAATTCAGTAATAATCTCATTTCATTAAAAATAAGAAATTACATGACATGCAGTATGATAAGGTAAAGGATAGAAGAAGGTTACCTCCAATTATCTAAACAAAATAAAAAATATATATAATATATGTAAAAAATATATAAATAGATTTTAATTTTTAAAAATAGTATTTATCAACCTTAATTTAACAATAATTATTATTAATATAATCTAAACATTCTAATTTCATTCATTAATAGTTATTTTTAAAACGTTAAAAGAAACACCCTTGTGCCTGAGAAAAAAAAACACCCTCTAGGTGGAAAGGATAATCAAAATGAAGCTTTATTAAGTGCAGAATAATCACATTTCTACAGATCTCTGAATATTTTTATGCATTATTTTGACAATTGTAGTGGATGGGAATGGGCACCCATATCTATATATGATATTCACTTAATTCTTTTAACTACTATATATTTTATAATAGTATTATGGGGTAGGAAAAGGAAATAAATATATGAATCCATTGCACTGACGCAGTGGTTGGGTTTAGTAGAATAATGTAAAATATTAGATATGGCATTTAAGTATATAAAAAGTTAGATTTGTTTCATGCTCAATTTAATTTACATCTCCATCTTCTCTTTGACTTTTGCTATTGAAGTTAATCATATTATTATAATAACTATCCTTTCTTTAAGCATGGAATATGTATTATTATAAGTTCAAGTGGTACCATAATTGCATGTTTTTATATATATATTTTTTATACATTTAAAATTGCTGGTAGGCCATGGAAACATGCTAGATGAAGTGGTAAACTTTCCATGGAAAACACCACCTACTTTGGGCCACAAAAGCTTTGTCTGTTTTGTAAGATTGAAGATTTTCTCCAAGTATTCTTTATTAGGTAGGAAACTGTTTTAAGTTCATAAAGGGGTAACATCTCTTTTAACTTAAAAGTACCAACTTTTGAAATTTCAGAAGGGTAAAGCAAGATTTGAGAAATTATATGAATATTTATTATTATTTTTTCCTTATAGTTATTTATTTATTGTTATATAATCCAATTACGAAATGCATAAAAAAGAAAAATTGTTTCAAAAGTAGAGTGAAACAAACAAAATATAAGAAAAACATTACTTTTACGATATGTAAAAGCCTTTTTGTCATCATGCAAGATGCAAGATTTTCTCCAAACTTTGCTTTGTCTTCTCCTTGTCTTCTACCCTTATTAGGGATAAAAGAATGATTTTTCATTTTATTAAAAGTTTTTCTTATCTTGTTTAACGAATTGATGGAAGCCATGAAGTTTTAACTGTAAAGGGCTCACTTGCTTGGTTTTAAAGTTTAATAACATATTTGCATGTAACCTTTAAAAACGAGGACTCAATTTTTTTTTCTTACACTAATTTGCATGAAATGCCGTCTTTATGTTCTTTTTTTTATTGTTATTAATTTGACTCAAGGCTTCCGTTTATGCTGTTCATGATTATAAAACAATTCCTGTTTTGAGATGCAATCCATTGTTTGAAACCCTTTGAATTTTTACTATAAAAAGGAATACAAATCCGAACAAACTCACCGTCGGTGCTCCCCGCCACCCCCCCCCCAAAAAAAAAGAAGAAGAAATATCCTCCCTGTAGAGTGGAGATCATGGAAATGGATGCTTCCAGTGTTGTTTCTCATAGAATCGACGTTGAAAACGGACGCAACTCTGCATGTTCCTTTGCCGAGAAGAAGCTGAAACTCTTTGGGTTTGAGCTCAACCCGAACAAGAACAAACAGAGCTCCTCTGTTTTGGAAGCTGATCACGAAAGTACAAATTCATCAACTACAGTAGTCTCGGCTGCGAAGGAGAAGCCGGAGACAGCTGCCGCCGACGAGAACTTGAAGAAGTTTGAGTGCCAATACTGCTTGAAGGGGTTCGCGAATTCTCAAGCGTTAGGGGGTCATCAGAATGCGCACAAAAGAGAGAGGATGAAGAAGAAGAGGTTGCAGCTTCAAGCCCGGCGTGCAAGTATTAATCACTACCTTCAACCGTTCCAGAACAGCCTCGGAATCGTCACTTCCCCTGTTTCAGGAGCTCCCCTGTACTATGATCCTTCCTTCAATACCTCCGATCACCATCAACATCAGTTTACTCTGTACGAGGAATCCAAAATCAGTTTCGGACGGTACGAGCAATATCATGGATCCAATTGGCACACAGAAGCTCCTATGATCCCTTTCCAACGGGATTCTGATTCTTCTTCGTGTGTGTTCACTCTGACACACGGTGACAGGGGCGGTGCAGACAGGGGTGTCGGTACTAGGACAGCTCCGAGGTTACCGGCAAAACAGGGGTGTAAATCATTGGATCTTCAACTGGGGCTGAGTTTACAATCTACGATCCAGAGCTCCACCGGAAGTGGAATATAACAGACATCATTTTCAGTTTTATTACAAAAGGGAAAAATACAGAACGCATCCGAGGAACATCTGTAAATTATCAATGTGATCGGATAATGCCATGATGTCGGCCGGCGGCGTAGATACACAAGTGCTGTACTTAGTATTTAGTTAATGAAGATTGAAGCAAAGATGTTAAGAAATGAATATTTGGGAATTGATTAAATTTGCTATTTAATTTACTTATGCATGTTTAGCTGTTGTTTCAAATTCTTAGTCTTCATTGGAGGGCTGGAAAAACTTGGTTGTGCAAAGATTTAATTAATGTTCTATATCTTGTGATATGAAATTAAATTTACTGATAAAAAAATATATTATCTTACGGGTGAAGTTTAGATTTTAAGTCTTGTATGAAAATTTTAATTTTAAAATGCATAAAAATAAATTTTAAAACACTTTAATTATAAATTAAAAACAGTATTTTTATTTTATATTTTAAGAGTACAAAATAAAAATACAATAAATGTATTTTTTAATTATTTTTATTGAAAGTATAAAAATAATTTTAATTTAATTAATTAAAATTATTTATATATTAGTGCACTTTGGCCTTTAGGATCAGTGACATCAAATTACGTTTAAATACATTTTTCTTTTTAAGGTAACTGTTTAAATTCAACCT